TATCTATCTATCTATCTCTATGTCTATCTCTATCTATCTATCTATCTATCTATCTGCTCTCCTTGGCTCTCCTTTGGTCTCCTTTGGGTCAACCTTCGCTCTAGTCTCTAGTCTCCGGTCGCTGAGGATCGCAGCTGGACCGGACGGGCGGCCCACCTTCTCCTCACTCGGCTTCACCTTCTTCTTCCTCTTCTTCCTGGGAGGCGTTCCGGAGAATACACTGAGGTGATGGTAGATGGTGGGTGCGGAGCGAATTCGGAGAAACCGATAGAACCTATAAAAGACGACATCAAGGCCACAGAACCAGGAGGTTGGCAAAACGATAGAGTTTGCAAACGACGACGATCGAGTTTTCAACACATGCAGACCATCCAAAGACCAAGGAAATGGCCTCGTCACCTGCACCCAGCGAGATCATGATTCGTCGATGGTTTGGTTCAGTGCGTGGGCCCTGGTCCAGGGGTCCTGGTCCGGCCCTTCTCCATCCCGTGTGTGGTGCATAGGGGGATGTACCAAAAGCTTTATAATATGAACAACTTCTAAATGAATGCGAAGTTTATGAACAACTTCATAAAGCTTATGAACAACTGCTTTAAAATAAATACACATGATAGTACTTGAGGATAAGGTATTTTCGCCAAGTTGTACAAGGTATTTTGCTTCTAACATCCAGTTAATAGCAAAACACATGTTGCTGAATACATGTCCTTCTTCATCATTGTTCTGAAGCGATTCTTGGGTGAATCCAGTAACCCGAACGGGCCGGTTGGGCGGAGCTGGACGTGCACTCCCCAACGGGCTCAAACACTCCTATAGTCATGACTCTGTGTCTCAACTGCCCAAGGTGGAACACGTGACTATAAGGTGGAACACATCCACCAACCAACCACCAGGGGCCTTGGCCTCAGCACAGACCCCGAAGTCTTCCAATCCCCCCCCCCCCCTTTCGCTCGCTTCCTCTTCCGTCACCTCTCCGCCCGGTCCACGCGACGTCGCGACATCCGCGGCGTTCCGCGGCGTTCCGCGCGGACGCCGGGCGGCCCGCTGCTTGGTGCCGGAGATCGTCAAGCCGCCGCCCGTGCCGCCGCGCCTGGAGGCGAGAGATCCCGGTGTCCCGGGTTCGAGGCTGCGATGGGTTCGATGGGAGGCCTGAGAAGAAGGACATGACCTGGTGACTTGGTGGTGGAAGACCGATCAATTGATCCAACAACAACAACAACACAAAACAAACAACAAACAACAACACATACACACCAGGACCCTCCTGGTCGGGGTGTCTATTTATAGCTCCAACTAGCTGTGAAAAAGGGGTGTCCATTCACCACCCCGACTGCGGGTGCTGGTACACACACACACACACGATGCAGTTGTTGTTGTTGTCGTTTAAAATAAGCTTTGGTTGTCCAATTATAGCTCCTTAGAGGTTGAGGGATCCATTAACCACCCCTATCCGGGGGCCCTGGCACATGCAGTTGTTGTTTGTTTTAGTAAATAAGTTTTGGGTTCCACACGATGAAGACCTGCAGGCTTCCTCGAATGCGCCTTTCAACGAGATGTGTCCTTCGACGCGAACACCCACCGCTGAGGTCTCACTCGGACCGCAAAGAGATCGACCGGTCACCTTCGGTCACTTGACTAGAGACTCCTGGTGCCTAGCTCTGTTTGATCCAGCAGCTAGTTCTGGAGTTGTGGGAAGGGGCAAGGGGATGCAAGGGGAACAACCACCATCGAATTGAAAAACTTGGGCCTGGACCTTCAGTACGTGACCTCTTTGGAGTCTCTAAGTGACCTCTTTAGGGACTAAGTGACCTCATTCTAGGATCTCAGCTTGGGCGCTATCCTATTACCTGGGCCCAATGGACGATGATGAGGCCAGGTTGCAGGCCTTGCTCAAAAAGGGTGATTTGCTGGTGAAACCTGACGGCTCTACAGGTTTAGATGGGACCAACCCTATGTATAGCCGCCAAAGCGCCAAACCTCGGTGCAAACAGCGACGGGACTGAAAGGCCTTCCGTTTGGGGCACCGAAACCACCGAAACGACCACGACTGCGGGCTACCAACGTGTCGGACCATCCTGTAATCACCCGACGTCGTTGTCCCGATCGTCCCCGGAATGGCCGAATTTGCAGTGGTTTCGCAGCTTCGATTCAGCTTCGATGGCGGCAAAACCCCCAAGGTGTCTGACTGAGATGGGGGTCCACTCAGTGCTTAAGATGGGTTGCCCCTACCCACAGGCAGCTAAGCTAAGCCTCTTAGCCAGAAATTTGCAGCCCTGAGGAGTCTGCAGCCCTTCGATCCACTTGGAGCCCACATAGCACTGACAAATTTGTTGGGGTCATCCACTCCGTCCCAGGCAGGCACTGAGAATAGTCGTGAAGAACACGGCAAGGTCACCCAAAAGGCCCAAAAAGGCACGTGGTAGTGATGATGGTGGAAGAAAACATGTATGGCTAGTGGTGCCCCATTTCCCATCATCTTGTGCAAGAGGCGGTGTGCCGTCAAAGTGTGAGTCCCTAATTATACTATACAACCTGCTGCGTGGGGAAACCCTAGTGCTATTCCACCAAATCAAGTGACAACCAAATTGCTCAGAAATTCGATACCAAGCAGCCAAAGCATCCAACTTTACTACGAGGGTTCAGTCTCACGTCTCACATTCAACAAAAAATCTGAAGCAAAACTCATGCAAAAGCAACATCCGTCTCACTCACGCAGCCTCCCTAGAAGAAATCCTTGTCATCCCCCGGTCGCTTCGTGTCTAGGCTTGTGACACGGCTTCCCTTCTCCGAACGGTCCAGGCCTGGTCAACTGCCGACCTGCTTCAGACGGTCCGGGCCAGGCGGACGGATGGTACTCCACACGGATCGCACGTTCTGAACCCCCAGACGCTCCATGTACAGTGGTTTCAGAGTAGATGGCACGTTCGTGACCCCAAGTTGGATGGTGCAACTATGGACCCCCATCTAAAGGACATGTATACAGGGTTGTGCCATCTACTCTGAAACCACTGTATACCAAATATGACAGTCCCATGGAGTGTCTGCGATTGATCCGTGGCGAAAAAAGGTGGCACCTTGACGGGACACCGGGACGCCCGTGTCGATTCATACAGGATCCCGGGAGTATTATTAATGCAGGAAGAGTGCGTCAAACTGTTGTGACAGCCATGAACTAGTATGCCATCACAATTGAGCTAGAGATAGCTAGAGTGATCTAGAGTGTCTCCAAAAACCTGCAGTGACTGCACAGCCGGATGCCGTTTCGACCAAACGTTCCACCTGTTGGATTTGAAGGACAAGGAATGGCCACCCCGACCAGTTTCTTCGGGAAGCTCCATGGAGCTCCGCTCGTTCACTCCAGGACAGGTGATGAGGTCAGCACTGAAAACCAGCTCGGAGGTCTCCAGCAACTTGGAACTTCTCGTGATGTCGCGGCCCAAGCCGCCTCCGCCGTGATGCCCAGCTCTGCTGGCGGCAAAACGCAGAGCTAAGACCTTCCAACGCTGTACTGTACGGTGTGACCAACGCGGGCGACCTGTCCAACTGCCAGCGCATGCGCCGCGGCTGACAGTCCTCCGTCATTCCTTTTTGTTGCACGGGCTGCCATCCTCCAGCTCGTGCAAATCCCTCCTCTACCAGCTTGAGGCCTTCGATGAGCTCGCGCTTCGTAGCCCAACTTCGGCAGCCCTGCTCGGTTGCCCCAGTCAGCATGGCGCAGTTGCGAGCATGGTGGACACCAGTTGTGTTGTTTGATGTTCTTGGATGCTTCCCAGCCGTATGACATCGCAGCCTTGTTGAGAGGACACAAGAAGCACCCAGCTGCCAGAATTTGGAAAAAACACTTCATCTTAGCTACAACCATGCTATAGAACCCTTTGAACGCATCTTCGATGCCACCAGCCCGCAATTGATCATGAACCCCACAGATTTCAGTGTTCATGAGCGGATATCACGAGGTGGTCGGAACAAGCAGCGAAACAACTCCAACACTACCTGATCCAAGAGATCCCAGGGAACCTTAAATATATTGTAGAGACAGGAGACAGGAAAACACTCTATGCATGGAATAGTTCCATAATGTTCCAGTTTATATACATTGATCATTTACCCCATGAAAATGACCCCAAACTACTGCATACATGGATGGTCTGCGATATACAGTACGTTACTTATACCAGCATCCCCGTGTGAATTGGAGGTCAAGCCCATGCCGAGCATTTTATAGCCTATAAACCTCGTTGGGGGGGGGGAGTGACACCCTATAGAATCAAAGTGTATAGAAGCAAGGAGCACTGGAATGACTATAGAATACAATCCATCCAGTAGACAATGAACCTGGCTAAACTCACAAGTTTGCCAAGAAAGGCCTCTCTATAAAATCACTTCTGCTGAAATCACGATAGATGGGCGAGTAAGAAAAAAGGAGGAAAGAGAACATTCCGGAACAACCAGTCATTTTATAGGCACGTCTTGTGAACAAACGTCAACAGAAATAGAAGAAAAGAAGGAATTGCACAGCTAGGGGCTCTTTTTTCTCTTCGCAGACTCCCCATCGTCTGTTTGTAAGTGAGACAACTAGATGCCAAGCTACATGTCTGCTGCATTGTAAGGGCAGCTCTCACAGATGTTGCGAATCAGGTTCAGCAGCGGTCGGCGATCGCTGGTTGCCAACTTCTCCCTGATGAACTTGAACGTGCCCACAACTTTTTCTCCCCACGCCTGCTTCCTCAATCTGATGTACCTCACAGAGATCTTTCTATAAAAATATGTTTCTTCAAGACAAAAAAAAATATGATCACTATAGAATCAAAGATCTGCTTTGGTGGGTGTTGGCCAAAGATGCATCTCTATAAAGTCAAGTTTCTTGATTAATATTGATTATGTAAATTTATGTAATATTATTCATTCCATTTCATTCCTATATATTCTTGAACACTTACTGGTGGATCACCGTGGTGCTTCATTACCTCCAGCCTTTGCTTACCTTAAGGATCCTGTAGAGATATCTTGAGCATGCTGTATCCTGTACTGTAGAATGGAATGATACCATTACAATCCACTACATATCACTATAAAATTCAAAATTTGACTTGGGGGGTGTGTTGGCAAAAGACGCATCCCTATAAAGTCATGTTTCTTGATTGTTCTTGAACACTTACTGGCGGAACACCGTGGTGCTTCATTACCTCCAGGCTTAGTTTACCTTTCGGATCCTGTAGGAATGTTGAGCATATGAGCATTCTGTAGCATCCTTTAGCGTACAATGGAATGACACTACTACATAACACTATAAAATCATCTAAAATAAATCATTTGACTTGGGGGGGTGTTGGCAAAAGATGCATCCCTATAAAGTCATGTTTCTTGATTATTCTTGAACACTTACTGACGGACCCCCTGAGCAAATACTGAACCCAACAAGATTTGTTTCATTTCTATATGTACACAACCTCTTTTGGTCACTTTTCCAATCAGATCCAGACCGGTGCCCTTTGTGTGTCTGCTGGTGCACTGTGACTGTGGTGCTTCATTACCTCCAGCCTTTGCTTACCTTAAGGATCGTGTAGATATCTTGAGCATTCTTGAGCATCCTGTAGCGTCCTTTACTGTAGAATGGAATGATATCACTATAAAATTGAAATTTTACTTGGGGGGTTTGGCCAAAGCCTCTTCTCTATAAAATCATGTTTTTGTTAATATTCTTGAACACTTACTGACGGAACCCCTGAGCAAATACTGAACCCAAAACGTGTCCAAAAAGTTTTGCTAGGGAACCCTGTAGCATCCTTTAGTGTACAATGGAATGACACCACTACATACCACTATAAAATCAAACATTTGACTTGGAGTGTGTGTTGACCAAAGATGCATCCCTATAAAGTGATGTTTCTTGATTATTCTTGAACACTCACTGGCGGAACACCGTGGTGCTTCATTACCTCCAGGCTTTGTTTACCTTTAGGATCCTGTAGGATCCTGTAGGTATGTTGAGCATATTTGAGCATGCTATAGCATCCTTTAGTGTACAATGGAATGACACCACTACATATCACTATAAAATTCAAAATTTGACTTGGGGGGTGTGTTGGCAAAAGATGCATCCCTATAAAGTGATGTTTCTTATACAATCTATCCAGGATAAAGCCGAGATATCCAAGATAAGCCAAGCTACTCTGCCTTGAAGTACTTGTAGGCAAAGCTCTTGATGTGCTTCCACGGCGTGCCTTCTGTTCCCTTCGATTTGATCCGGCACAAACCCTCCTCTGTGAAGAGTGGGTTGGTCTTGAAAGTCGAAGACTCGGTGTTCTTGAGCTTCTGCAACTCCTGTTGAATGAGTTCATCACCTGAAGAATTCTTCTTCATATTCTCTACCACCAAGGGAATCTCCGGCTTCTCGGCAGGGGCTGCCTTCAACTTGGTGAGCTTCTTCTTGAGCTTTGCCACCGTCTTCTTTTTCTTTGACTTGCCGGACTTCTTGGAATTCTTCTTCTTCTTCTTGGCCCCGTCCGTCTGGTCGGCCTTGTCTTTCTCATCTGCATCCTGTGCATCCTCGTCTTCTGCCTTGCCCTTGCCTTCTTCTCCACCTTGCGCTTTGCGCTTCCTGCCTTGACGTGGCAGGACCACATTCAAGCGAACATCTAGTTGTTCCTGGGGCCATGAAGAGGCAAATTCCTCCATGCGGTTGATCAAATCCATGGCTCCTGTAGTAAAGACCACTGACAACTTCTCATCAGAATCCTCAGCAATCGAAAAATCCAGCAGCGCTACTGTGGCCTCAGGTCGAAGGACTACGCTTGTTGACCTCCCTGAGCATGTCCACTGGTCGGAACGATCACTGCTGGTATCTGGTGATAGCTCCACGGCTCGGTAAGCAAGGACATGTGCAAGGCCCAGGGGTGCGGTGCACAACTTGGGCTTCTTGGCACTTCTCCAAATAGAAATCACCATGCAAACCCTGGCCTCTCGGCAAGTCTTCTGGTGAGATCGCTTCGGCACCACCGCAATGACGATGTTCCCTTTCCTTACATCAAAACAAGCATTGTCAGAATATAAAAAACAATTCTATACACAATATATCACAATATAAACAATAGATAAAACAATAATATTAAACAAATTTAAACAATATTAAATACATCTATTATCTATAGAATCGTGTCTACTCATTACTGTTTCAAAGAAAGCTCTATAGAATCAGCAAATTGAGAAGCCTGCAGAAAACAACTCTATAGAATCAGAAAACTGAGAAGACTGCAAAGAGCAAAGGCAAGTGGCTCAAGCCTATCTGGGACCTCCTCCTGAGTGCCTTCCAGCGAAGCACGAGCTGCCATCTTCCATTTGTCCAGCCGGCTTGCACGTTGTCGAAACTCCGCGGAATTCTGCTTCTGGTTGATCTCACGGAGAATGCGCTCATTGTACCTCAGAATCCCCCCAAGAAAAACAATGAACTGCAGGTGCACCCGTCACCCGCTGTACAAAGTACAGTTTCCTACAGATTCATCCGAAAGTATCCAAAAGATTTCAAAAGCAATTGTCTGTGTTCATACTAGGGGCTGGTACCAGGACAGTCCAGAAGATGCCTTTCTGCAAGATCTTGGATTCTTGATCCACAACCTGTCCCCTCCGCCGCACCAGTATCGCTGGTACATCAGGAGTCTCCAAAGCCTATCCCAGATAATGGACCCTTTCAGTGCATCAGGGTCCTTGAAGAGTGCCTCGTGCAAAGTCTTGGGAACAGAACCTGGATCAAAGTCGGGGCCTGTCTGCTTCTGCGCGAAAGGCTTCATTGGGCTTTGAGCGTCAGAAGTCAGCATCTCCAACAGTTGGTCCTTGTCTGGTGCGTTCCGCAAATCCGAATCCAAAGCCTTCAGATCTGCTGTCCTCGCCCTCACCCTCACCTTCATCTTCAAGGACACCCATACTGTCTTCGATATCACGGAGGACACGCTGACACTCATCCAGCTCTTCCTGATCGCCTTCATCCTCGTCAATATCCACCTCATCAGGCGAGACTGCTGCAGCTGCACAAGTGTCAGTGAAGCGTCCGGACTTGCACCATTCATCGTACATCTCCGTGAGGGAAGACACAGTGACTCCACTGGTGTGCGCAACAAGGGCCAAAGCAGCCTCCAATGCTCTCTCACTGCAGGCCTTGAACTCGGCATCATCCAATGGCTTATGTTTCTGCTCCGGAGCTGGGCCATTGGGTTCACGAGATTTGAAAGCTCGTAGCATATCCCGCGCGGCCGCCTGCCAGTAACCCCTGGTGGAAAGACTGGCTGACGATGACTGAACCCTCAGTCTTCCAAACCACTGTTCGATCGCCAATTCTGACATCCTGGCATGCCCACGGCTGTACGGATCACCGCTTTCATCTTTGGTCAGTGCAACAATGATTGTGCTCATTGCAGTCATTTGCAGATTCTCTTGCGTTTGTGGGGAGATGAATTGAGACCCACGTGGAAATCCATTCCGAGCAGCTGAGATCTCTGCAATGATCCTATACAAATCCAGGATGAGGAATCCCTCCATCGATGACTGAACTCTCTGGCTGCAGGTCATGGTGTGATGCATAGTCGGAGCCTTGGATAAACAACCATATAAATAGCATAGATTAAACAAGGAAGATATAGTCTAATAGTATGATGAACATAGATGAACATAGTATAAAATAGTAATTTTAACTAGCCCACAAATGTCTTCTTATAAAA